TGTATAGGGCTCAGTAGAAGGGGCGCTGATGTAAAAAATAACAATGCAAACCACAAAACCCAACAAAATCCCTTTACCTTGCAGCACAGTAGCTCAAAAATATAATTCTGTCACTAGGGGTCAGTATTAAAACATATTACCTTTACACAATACAGCTAGTGGCATTCTATTGTTGATTCCCTCCTTCAGAAACACAAACTTATGTTATAAAGAAGAATTATTAAACTATAAAGAAGACAAAACCTATACAACACATTATTACCTATTTCTGGGTTTAAGTGTAGCTCTCATGTACTCAAAATTTTTGTTCCTGTTCTCATAAATTAACACATATATTCATGCAAATGTATTATCTTACATAATACTGACACTTCAATATTGATCCATCTATGTGAATTAGGTTCCATCTACAGTCTTGAAAGTGAAAAGCTATGATTAAGTTTCCCATTTTCTAATGGGGAAGATTACTAGCTAGTGATACTACTACCTAATGGTAACAATCATTATTTCCTAATGATAATAGCAAAATTTGAAATGTAAAAAAACCTGGAGATTCTTGAAATTTATTCCCTGATGGCCATACACATCTTAAAAACAATAAAAATCTGTTGTGGATACTGAAAAGGTCCATTTAGGAAGGTGAGAGACTTTCACAACCAGTGAGCATTATCCAAACGGAACAGACTGAGGATCTATTTTTTGGTCATTAGATCAGTATATGAATTGCAGTTTGGAATAGATGCAAGATCCACTGAAGTCAAGGGAACAACTCACTTTCTCCTCACTGGGCACTGCCCATAACCAATGAGTTCCCAAACTACCTTCCTATCCCCAATCTACTCCCAAATTTTGAAAATTTTGATACATATGAGAAAGGACACATACAGATGCTGTGATAATGTCTGTAACTACCTATATGGACAGAATTTTAATAATGTAAATAGGTCCACTGATTCTTGTGAAGAATTCAAGAATTAGACAATTAAATAACATCAAGCTTGCTGACTTTGCAATTTTTGGGATGACATTTTACTATCTTGAATCTAGACAGAATACTTGGAAATATGTAACATGACACTAATTATAAACCCCAGGAGAAATATTCTGCCAGATCATAAGTCTGTCATGTACTACAATTTCCTGCAGCCCTTAGTACAGCTGAACAAAAACCATCCCTTTCCTTCTTCCCCGAGACCAAACTCTAACTGAATGCTATAAATTTTGTACTTAAAATAAACAATTTAAGACAAATATTATTGAGGCTGTTAAATAGTTTTCATGTCCAGTACAAAGCTCTAAATTTCACAGCACATGTTTTTCTTTAGTGGTAACTCCATTAGGTGCCCAGAATTCAGACATTGCCAGATTTATGAAGACAGCTATTAGAAATGGCATTTGCACTACAACAATACTGAAGAAAAGAGCTGGTCAAATTAATGTCTGACTAAACAGTACATTTGAGATCTTATTTCTATGTGTTACTTCTAACCAATATCATATTTATGTTTAACACGACTAGCTTATCCTAAATACATGAAAAGTGAAAATAATTGATTATACTTTAAATGGAAAAAAATAGGCAGAGGCTGAAGTAAAACGTTTGTTCTGCAGTTAGTTGCATAGTACAGAATAATTTATTTTTCTGTCCAATAGATGGCACTGCTGTTTCTTTGTTTGTGTGTAATTTTGCAATTTGTGCATAATATACATTACTGAAGTGACTGTGCCTACATTTCCCGATGCTTGAACACATCAAAAATAGACAGATTTCACAGATTCTTTAAAATGGCATTCTGCTGTCCAAATAACTGTATACAATTTTCAATAAAGCAAGTTAGCGTTCTGGATTAAAAAATGTGAAGTGGATGCAAATACCAGTTGAACATAATTCTCTTCTTCCCAGCAGCAGACTCACAGAAACAAATTCTGACACGTGTCAAGGATGGCATCAGAGCTATACACATAGCAATATTGAAAAATAATTAATTTATTGTATGTTAGAATAAGTACATGGGATTTTAGATTGCAGTATACTTTGCAATTTTATTTTTATTTAGCCTAATTATTAACAAGTTTACAAAGAATTTATGATCAATACACAGCAGTATTAAAATTCTGTCATTACTTTATGATAAAATTCTGATAAAAGCATCATCTGGGGGTGTCAATCTGTAAACTAATGAGGCATTTGACCACCGTACTTTTTTCTATGTGCTACTGAAACATGACACAACATCAGCTCTGCAGCAAAAGCTTAAATATTTTAAAAGTTATTTATAGTAATTTTTATGTGTTCTTGTAGAGATCACATTGTAAACCCATGTTTTCCAGTAAACCTGAAAACTCAAACCATCAGTATAGGACTCATGTTCTCTTCTGCTCTAGACCTTTGGTTAAAATACTGCAGGGGCCAGAGTCATTGATTCATTCATTCATTTATTTTTGCCAAATCGTGGTTGCTTGGGGACTTGTGTGAAATGACAAGCTGGTCTCTGTCCTGTTCATCGTGAACAGGTGTTCTAATTACAAAACCTCCACCATATTTGACACCTTTATTAGCTGTCTCAGTTGAGAAACAAAGGATTGATTGGGTAGGGGTATAGAACTAGCCTTTCATTGCTGTGGGGAAGCACCTAAAGGTCAAGGTTAATATACATTAGTGGGGGGTAGTATTGCCCATTGCCTATGCTGTTCTTGTGTTATTAATCAATGGAAGACTTTATCCTTACGAGCTAGCTATTGTGGAAGCATTAATTACACAATTTGTTTTAACTTGTATTTTTCCCCGTATTACATGAAAAGCAGACTGCATTTCTTGACCAAATATTCCTAACAAGAACAACAAATCTCCAGCAAAAATAGCAGTGTCTTGTACTCTGTTTACATTCTCTAATACACACTGTACAAAATGAAAGGGCAAGGTACACATTCTTCAACCAATATAATACATGCAAAAATGCTCTTGAAATGAAATATGGCAGAACACATGGAGATGAGTTCAACAAGATTGAATTTTTGGCTGGCCGGTAAAAAGTGAAAACATTTATAGTGAATGGTCTTCCCCTTTACTGTAGCCATTTTGTTCTTGCCACATAAGGTCTACCTGCTACTACTAGCTTTATGATTTAATATTCTTGGTGGGTTTATAACAAGAATCTAATATATATCCAATAAAAGGGCACTAGTTTCATTAGTCTCATTTGGGACCAGAATACTGTCAACATAATTACACAGCAAAGTCACATCATTATAAAAGTATATCAGCATCTTCATTACATATACACTTATTTTCAGTGGTTTACAAGACACACACACAAAATATTCCAGAATGAAATTTGATTATGGTAACTCAATCTGGAATGCATTTTCTCCAAACCATTTTTTTTCCTATTATGTGAATGTAAAATAAATGTGGGCCAGAAACTCAGTGAGCTGGAACTATACCAATTTGTATCAGCTGAGGGTTCAACTCTATATATTCATTTATAGATCCTAGTCACACTTGGACTCTTCTATGACTTATTAATGGTTTTGATTTAGAAATGAAGCTTTGAAGTAATTATATAGTCACATGGCATTCATCCAATATACATATTTAATGTAAATTATTGCTTCCTGATTTTCACAGAAGACCTGTGATTAGATTACCTGGTGCTTCCATATTGTACTTGGAGCTGATTTGCAAGGAGAGGGAAGTCTCTGCCCAGCAAGAAACAAATACAGACTCCATTATAATGCGGAGGAACAGACAGCTATTTCCCAGCCTGAGGTCTCAGAGAATTGTTCTAGCAGTTGAGCTAAACAACATCCTGACTATCTCCTTGGCAAAAAAACCCCCAAACCTGAATGAGCTGGCATAAGCTGCTATACCAACTCAAAGCTCTCCAGAGATTCCCTTTTCACAATGTGAAACCTCAAAGGGCTGCACTACGAAAACCAGCTGTAGCAGAGCTGAAGTTTGACCCCCAGACTCCAGTACTGTGCTCTTTCTATGTGTATGACTCCCACTGACACCAACTGAAGAGTCATGCACATGAGGAGAGCAGAGTATCAGACAAAAAAAAAATCTACTATGTGAATCTGAGAACAGAATATTATTCTCTTGTGTCAAATTATGGCTCCATCTGGTAACATTAAGCGAATAGTGGTGACTATTAGAGCTGAATCAATAAATTGAAACAAATAATTTATTTGGTGAGTTATTTTACTTGTTCACTTCAAAGAATGCCTGTGAATGGATTACAACTTCCTTGAGTGTATTCCAGGAAACTTTTAAGGAATTTTATTTTATGGTTTGTTACATGTGATTGCTCATATACGTCAGACCGCTCTGTTTCTTTTCCCTGAACAGAACTTTTAGTAGAGTTGGGGTAACAGAACTCTGCAACTGACAGTAGAATTCAGTTGATACAATTATTTTGGAACTTGCAGTCAGCTATCCATCCTTTGTTAGTTATTTTGGATACTGAAGTTACACTTCTTTTCTTTTAGAGAATGCACTACGAGCATTCTCTATTACTTGGGAAACAATAAAAAAAGAAAGAGAAGGACAATGACAATATTCAGAATATCTGAGTGCCATCTCCCTCAAAGACTGGGTTTAAATCAGTCAAAAAAGTTGCATGAAGCATCAGATTTTAAAGGATACCTTACTGATTTTGAATTTTCAAAACATACCCCACATCGAATGTCTTAGGTTACAAGGCATATTTTCTTCATATGTTCCCCTCAAAACATGATTTATATCTCTGCTTTCATTACATCTGCTTCATACCTTTCCTTGATAAAGCAAATGTTAGTAGAGATAGCATAACTCCTGTAACACTGATGAGAACCAACCTATTCCAGATGACTCATAAGCACCAAAAAGAGCCTTACAAATTCAAACAGATCTGCCTTGTAGGATTAAGGACAAGATGACGCTCTCTTTAAAAATAAAAATATTATCAGTTATGTTCAGATTAGTGTTTTAAATAGTAGTTCAATGACTGCAGACTCACCTTGCATTGCTAGGACTGCCTGCTGTCAAATTAGCTAATGCTGTCACTGCAGCTTCTTTTACTTCTTCATTGTCACTGCTTAGCAACTGTACTAGCTGGGGAATCCCTTTGAAAAAAATAATTGTATACATGAACCTTTAAATAAATCATGGCAATCTGAAAAGTTATAATACGTTCCTTATAAAAGGAAAAGCACAGATTCTCAGTTCATCCCTTCCCACCTTACTTACCCTGAAGTCCAAACACACGTTTGCTAGCTAAATTCTCACACATGGCAGAAATTGCTTGGGAAGCAGCAACTTTAACTCCATCATTATCAATTTCCAAAAGGTTTATAAGACACTTCTCAACCTCTTCCGCATTTAAGATGTTTCTATTTTCAGCTTTAAACGAAAAAGAACAATGGCATTAAACCACATTCATTTTTCAAATCAGTGAAAGAACACAAATTGGATTTCATACAGTTGTTTCCAACATAACACTTGCTTTTGATACCATGGAAATAGAAATATTTTGGTAATAGAGGCACCAGCAATAAAGAAATGTGCACAAAGGACCTGATCCAAAACCCGTTAGACCTCAGTGAATTCTGAATCAAGCCCAAAAGATGACTACAGCTTTAAACATAAATAGCCCAACAGAATGCAAAGTTTCTTCTCTGTAAGACTTAAACCCGCAGAATGCATACAGGCTTGATGAAAACAGCTTTTCCAATTCAAGAGATCATACTCACTCAGGATCATACTCACTTCAGTTTATGCTAATGAAGTCCAAATGCATAAAATTGAAGAACATTCTAGTAAATGTACAATTGAACTTGGCAGAGTACCAGTAAACTTACCACAATAGCCAAAAAAAAAAAAAAAAAAAAAGGCAAGAGGTGTTAAAATTTGAAATTTTAAGAGTTTTAAATTCTGCACAGCTTGGTGTTCTTCATTAGTGCACACTATGCAGGGAATTTCAATTTCGTATTTTAGCCTGGTGACACAGGGTTCACTGCAATGATCTGCAGCAGCTAAGGAAGGACATAGATGTTCCTTTCCTGTACGCAAGTAACAAAGTTATGAAGTATCTACAGACATCTGACAATTATACTTATAAACTCACTCATCCCAAAATGGATGAGATCAGAAGTGCAGGTGTTTGTTACAAAGAGCCCCAAGTGAACCTTTCTCAGAAAGGCACTGGACAGCACAAAAGCTCTACAGTTATGAGGGTCAATAAACATTTAACCATATGCATAATTTACAGTGGATTAATTACATGCTTGAAGTTATATCTACATGGTAAAATTTTTAAATGTATCAAAGAAATTCAGGAAATGAGAAGTCAGTAGGGACTTCGGCACATTTGGAAATTTTACCAGTGCTTACTAATGCTTTGAGGGATCATTCCCTTATTTCAACTGTTGTCTCACAAATAAAAAATTTAAAAAGGAAAGAAAAATATCAGAAGTATTCTTTTAAACAAAACTGAATCTGTAGTGAATAAAAGTAAACAAACAGAAGTTCACAAAGCCAATGAAAAGAAAGTTTGATTGAAAATCTAGTTACAGGAGAAATGACTCAATGCACATACATGACATGGCTAGCCATGTTCTCCTCTCTAGCTCAATTTTAAATATTTTTAGTATCCTCAGAGATACTGTTGTGCTTTAACCTGGCAGGCAGCTAAAACAACCAACAGCCTTTTGGATGGGGGAGAGAATCGAAAAAAAGTAAAACTCATGGGTTGAGATAAAACCAGTTCAATAGGACAGAAGAGAATAATAGTAATATGAATATTAATGATAATATACAAAACAGGAGATCCACAGTACAATTACTCACCAACTGCTGACCGATGCCCAGCTAGTTCCCGAGTCACAGTCCCCCCGGCCAACTACCCCCAGCTTATATACTAAGCATGACATATGCTCAGTATATGCTCATGGTATGGAATATCTCTTTGGCCAGTTTGGGTCAGCTGTCCTGGCCATGTCCCCTCCCAGATTCTTGTCACCTCCTGTGGAAGGCTCATGCCTCCTCACTGGCAGGGCCTGGGAAGCTGAAAAGTCCTTGACTTAGTTGTAAACACTGCTTAGCAACACTAAACATCAATGTGTTATCAACATTTTTCTCATCCTAAATCCAAACCACAGCACTAGACCAGCTGCTAGGAAGAAAATTAACTCTATCCCAGCCAAAACCAGGACAGATACACAATTGAAATCACAAAGCAAAAGATGCAACAAATAAAACAGGGAGGATTTTAAGCGTCAGCAGAACCTTGGCCACAACCTTGATGCATATCAGCCAGTTCTCAAAAGAAGGCCTTAATTGGGATTACAGATCGTTTTGACAAATAATCAAGTATGCTGCTGGCCTGTTGCTTGCCATAGTCCGTAATCCCTAATAATGATCTCTAGAGGTTCTTCATGCCTCAGTAATTTGGTACTTGTACAGCAAGTTACTTATTACTATACAGACTTTCTTAAAAAATATTCTTGCTTTTAAAGGCAGTTATGATGATGGGTAAGCATTTAATTTTAAAGATAATTTATGCCTATGTGAAATAACAAGAATAATTCATTTGAATGAGTGAAAATAGTGATTTAAAGTATTTTAAACAGAATAAAGACTGTTTCAATAATGTGGAAAAACAGACTGTGGATTTGAATTTACGGTAAACAGTATGCATCTATATTTAGCTAGCTAGACAGATAGCTGAAAATTATTAATATTTTAAGATCCCTGTTTAAGGGATGATTATTTTCTGCTGGTCTCTGTTTGTATGAGTTGTTTCCTTTGGCTTTTAATATAGAAAAGAGAAAACGTACAATTGAAAAGCATCCTTTGTACTTAAGCACTTCTCATGTCAGTGCCAACACGGTATTTACAGTGATGAATTTCTTGACCCCTAAGTAATTTGAATACATTGATTCACCATGAAATAGAATACTCAGGCATGCTCAACTAAAAAAGTCTGGAGTACTAACACTCCTTGTCCAGTTTTTCATGCATTGACTCCATCATGAGCCAACCTTTGTTTTTCAATATATTTTCCTATTTCCCCTTCTTACCCCAAAATCATGGTCAGAGTTCTACTGACTACCTATTCAGCTCACTGTCATCACCTTATGGAATTATTTATGCCAATTTCAAATGAAAAAAAGTTAATTAATATCATGACCTCTCACTGATCTTGAATTGAGATAACCCAGATAAATAAAAACCTGTATTATGAAAAAGCATATGTTAATCAGTCTACAGAGCATGTTTAGTATGCTCCCTTTTGAAAGGATTTGCATTTAGATACATATAAAGAACAGGGAGAGTTTCAAACCAGAAGTCTGGCAGAGTGAGGCCAAACTCAAGTGAGCATGATTATAACTTTCTCCATACACACTTCACTGCATTTTGTTGTTGCCTGTGTGCCTGGCATCATCAGGGGAAAGTCAGGCCCTCCTTAATCAACAGTTCAGATAATCCACTCATAGATATTCAATAATTTATAGCATTAAATTCTATTTTGCATTCTGAAATGACTGCACTATTTGCTAGGCAAGGAGGGAAGCACAACAAAATTCACCACTGTAATTCTGAGCATACAAAATAAAACCACTGATAAATTAATATATTAAATTCAAATTATGTTACAGAACAAAATAAATTTTCAGCGGCAAAAGGATGATTAGGTATAGATATATGATAAATTTTAATTTACCTAAACAGAGCAGCATCCTGAAGATGCTATTTAAAATTGAATATATTTGTACCATGCAATTCATTCTGAGATTGAGAATAGCTCTTAAGGGATACATCTGCCTTATAACAACAACAAAAAGTTACAGGAGTCCCTTTCCAAAGGGCTGAAAGGGGCATAAACCAAAACTGTTTGCTATGATCACATCTATCAGAAAAAAAAAACCCAAACCAAATTCCATCTGTCAATAATAATTTCAAAACCAGATACTGCTGTATACTCAGATGCCAGGATTAAAAAAAACAACAGATAGATACAAGTTCTATCATAGCAGAAGTAAGGTTTTAATTTCAATGAAAAGTGGTATCTCTTTTCCTCAAGTATGCAGGAAATGTTTGTAAAATGCAACCACGATTATCAAACCTGAAGAATGTGGGCTACTGTATGGCTATTGCAAATTTAATGAAAAAAAACCATAAAAGAACTTAAATCTGTGTTGTATTATATTGGATTTACATCAAAGCAAGTATTAGTAGAGAATACGTTAGTGTTGCAGATGGGATAGGCTCTTTAGTATATTTACAACCAGGATCCAAACAAACAAACAAGAACTGCAAAAATTTGTTTTCTTATTCACTTGGATTACTTCTTATAATGGCCCCAATGTCACTTTTCTTTTCATGGGAAGGCTACCTTTAGACCAATAGCTCCATGTATCTGAAAAAAATTCAATACTTCTGGGGGGTACGCTGAGCAGCAAGTTTACTGGACTGTGTTTTCCACTGCTCCAGTACAACGTGTTGCCCTTTGTCTAACTGGTTGTCACCAAAATTCTACAGCTTGAAAGCAAATATTTTAAATCTTCTTTTGATCTATTTTCCCAGCTTGCTACATCCATACCAACTGTCACAGGCTGAAGAAGAGAGCAAACCTTTATAATGAAACCACATTGACTCCATTTGTAAAGAAGCATGACAAGAAGATGCATCTTCACTGACGGTAACATCCCATGATATAAGATCATAGGCAGTACTGTAATATATTATGTGTAGCTCTCGCTACTGTGTTTTAAAAATGTTGTGTTCAGACATGCTTCTACTAACAACTGCTAAAATATTAGGCCACAAAAACTGAAAAAGGTGTGAAAGAGGAAAAGAAGGCTATGCTGCTTTGAAAATAAATATGAAAAAGGAGTAAGATGCAGTAGAAGGTAGCAGGAGCAAATATAAATCTGCTTAGCATACTACTTACAAGCCTGTCACAGGACTATAAAAATGATACTGACAGTCCTAAGTAGCATAATAAAATAACAATACAGGAAAACACACAAAGAAAATACTGGCATAAGAAAGCCCCTTTCTATCTTTGATACCTGAACATTAATGAAAATAATTTTCAGTGACTTGCAAAGCTTCCAAAAGATAATGATAAAAGCACACCGAAACCCACAGAACGCTAAGAAAGGTAGATTTCACTCTTTTCATGTATGATTTGCAATCCAAATAATTACAAATATTCAGGACGTCAAACTAAGGAAGGTGAGAAAAGAATTGGAAAGATAAGATGGGGAGAGAAGAAAGGAGGTCTGAAACGCTGTAGAAAGGAGAGATTATTTTAGCCATGTATTAAATTAGGCAACATATTTGTAAAAAAAAATACACATACATTAAAGCCATGATTCAACCATGAGATGACAGAAATATGAATTAAATATTTAAACCCTACTGTCATAGTTAGTCATCAAAATCCTGTGACAGAATTAAAAGCTATAGACAGAAGTATGCTCTTTCTTACATTGCATTTTGGTATATAGCACTATTAGGCATATGTTGCAACTCAGAAACCAATGTATGGAAGGAATTTCAAATGTAGATTTATTTAAAGAGCATCCTAATTCAGCCTAATTCAGAATTCCTTGTGAATTAAAGAAAAGCATACGAAAAAGAACTATAAGATGAATAATTATAAGAAGATGACAATGAAACTATTTAACTCCACTGGGAATATTAATCTGCAAGCCATTTGTGAGGCTTTTTTTTATGTCCTTGTTAAAGGAATTTCTATTTGAAATTGCCTGACATTTAGACGAGCAAAAGGAAGTAAGCTTGCGATTAAGTCTTAACTGGTACTGATGAGAAATAGTGCCAGCAGAGGTGACTTAAGATGGCAGTTACCTGGCCTTACTAAAGATAAAGACGGTCTTTTCAGAGCTCCATTTTCCTTTTTGAGGACAGCATTTTGCAAGAATATATTACGTTTAAAAATAAATCAAGGCAAAATCTTAACGTTTGCATATGTATATACAGCCAGCATCCAATTGTTGCTTTGATTGCCAAGATTCATCACTGTAATTCATTCTTGCCAGTGTTTTCCTCAGCACAAGTACTACCCTCAACCAGGTAAGACAGCCTCATTCTGGATGAAAATTTACTTCATAATGAAATTCATGTGCATGGATTTTTAAAAAGTCACATACAGTCATAAGCTGCTTTGGTAATTGCCTTTGCTGCATTCTTCTGAATATCGGGAACAGTAGAGACTCCTACAAATGAAAGGAGCTTTTTAAGGCCTCCTGTCTGCTGAATCAGTTGCAGAGTATGCACATCTTCCAGACAATTTCCCAACACAGCAAGAGCTTCCACATGTAGATCACTGAATTCCTAATAGGAAAAAAAACCCCAAACAAATAACCTTCAAATCAGGATTAAAGTATCTTTGGCTTTTAACCTTGTAGGATAATTGTCATAACTTTCTTTTGCATAGTTTATTTATACTGCAAAGTACATCTTTTTATATTCATATATTTTGTATAATATCTTTGATGTGCCTCAGGATGCAACACAATTTATCAAAAACAGTAAAACCCCTAAAAGTCTCTCACTGATACCCAAGTGGGCTAGGCAAGTATTCAGAAAGGACCTGTCATCTTAACATTTCAAAAATTTCACAAATTTCTCTGTGCATTACATTTCCCATGTTGACATCTCAACTCAAGAAGCATTAAAATGAGTCTCATAATAACATAAACAATGAAATTTCCAAGGTAGGAAATTGTATTTTAAGGCCATTGATATCAAAGTAAATTCAGAAAAAAAGATCATTCTTCAAACTAGAAACCAGCACCAGAGTTCAGCACATAATCAAAAATTTTGGGAAAACATGACATAAAAAGCTATATGGTGAATTTTTCTGATATTTACAACAGTTTGAGAAATTGGCAGTAAATGCAAAACAGTGCTACTAATAGTAATAAAGCAATAAAACAAAAGGAAAACATTTTGAGGAATCCCTTTGTTCCCTTTCTTAGTAAGCTAGGTATCCTAGCTTATCCTATTTCTATCACAGTTAGCTCCAAGTAAGGAGCTCTTTCTTCTTTTATCTTCCACAATATGAATAGTATTTCTCACCAGTCATACAAACAATAGCAGCAAGAACAAAAAAAACTTTTAAGGCAAGTAAACTGTACATTGTTTTCCAGTATCTTCAGAACACAATCTAATCCTTTATTTTCTCCCAGTATTATCCTGGTTTCTCCGTCTTTGCTAATTACTTCTAAGGTTTTAAGGGCTAACAATTGAATAACTGGGTATTCAGATCTCAGTAGTTCCAGCAAGGGTGGAATTACATTCAATGCACGAACTGCAGCACGGCTTTGAAAATCCTGCAGTAAAATATTCAACAAAGAATGTTAGTAACAGAGAATATAACAATACCTCAATTCCTGACTTTACAGAAAGAACACCAAAAATCTGATTTCAAACATATAGAAAAGAGTCAATATTCCAGGACTTCCAGCTCTGAAGATTTCTTTCTTTTCAGCTGAGAATCAAACTGAATATAATCAAGCCCCACTAGCCTTAAATTCCAATTTTTTTTTGCATGACTGAAGTACAAACTACAGAATCTAATCCTGTCTAAGGAAGCCTATTTACTCTTGATTTTGCCATGTTCATCTCAACATACATGTTTCTCTGAGAAAGTTTTTTAAATCTAGTTTCATCATTTTTATTTACCTCAGTGGGCGAAAATAGTTTTCGCACTCTACCGTGGTTGCCTGGTTTTATCTTCTTTTGTTTTAGTAATTATAAAATGACAATTTAAAATTTCAACTTTAAACAGTGTATATGCAGCTTAATAAAAAGTCAGTAGTAGATTATATTAAAATAGAAAATAAATAAATAAATTACAATTTGCTTTTAAATAGCTTATTGCACATGTGCAGCATGTAATTATCCTTATCAATATAGGCAAGCACCAGGTGCAGTTATCCAGATATACCCTGCAACAAAGACAGCGAGATAGTAAAAAAGGAGAAAGAGTAAAATGCGATTCTGAATAGACATGCTCTGATGCCCCAAAAGAGATAGAGTTATAAACTGAATTCATTATTGAATTGATTCGCTTAAGCCATGGAAGAGAACTGCCATACAAATGCACCATTCTTTTGCTAAGCAGCATATGGATGACATTAGTGCTAAGTGTGAAAGTAGCCAATAACAAATCTATTCCTCCCAGCATGGAAAGTAGCCGTTGACAGCATTCACCTATCATTAAAAAGATGTTAAAAATTGTGACTATGGACTTGCTGCCCAAAACAAGGCACAATGCAATTGCTAGTTTTTTTAATTTAGAGGATTACTCCAATCTTTTGGATAGACAGGTTATAACTCTCATTACTGAGATTAACATTTTCCAACTAAGAAAACAAATTCATACTTAATTAAAAAAAAATTGAATCTGTTTCTGATCTCACATTGCTGTACAGCATGGATAATTGCATTAAGTTCAACAGAATTAGTGTCAAATCAGCTATATTCATAACTAATATAACAACCAAAGACTTGGGTGTAATGTTTTCAAATACATTGATGAACACTGAAGAGAGAGTAAAGGAACCAAATATTTTTAAATTATTAACCCCCCAGAGTGCTTATCTGCCTCTCTAATTTAAAACAACAGCAACAAACTTTACCTGCACCAGGAGGTAGATACATTCAACTGAATTCTTCTTAACATCAGGATCAGGGCTACCTAGCAGTCTGATAAGTGGTTCTAATCCACCTTGCTCAAATATTTGTACTTTAGTAGTATATTCAACAGCCATGTGTGCTAGACACAGAGTAGCAAATTCATGGATAACTACATCTTCTATGGGGGAAAAAAGAAATATTTTGATCAAGTTTTATTCAGCACAGTATATGTTCACTAATCCAGTGATTTAAATTATTATTTGAAGTCAATAAACAATAGCTGCTAATCATACCTGACATCTCCATAAACATGTTGCTCCATCTGTACAACATAAAACACTACTCAGTAAGTAACAGAGCTACTCCTATAAAGCAATTACCTATTTAATGTGTAGTATGACAAATCATAAGTTACAAGGAAGATTTTTATCAAATTGTCCAATCAAATGGCAATCATAAATTATTTCTGAGTGTATTTTTGCACAAGGAATGAATACTGCAAGCTACCTTCTGGCGCCAGCTGTGATATAAGTGAATTTGTGACATCCAGTTCCCTCAGTAACTTCTTGACATCATCTACAACAAAATACATATGAATATGAAGTCTTTTATTTGGCAATTTTGGCTGAGTAGAGAAACAGATTCTGTTCCAAGGGAAATGTACTTATGGTTACTCCCTGAGTGACAAAAAGATCTGACTGAGAATGACACACAACTGAAGTTATACAAAGATTATAATGGACCCAGAAAACCTACAGGAGATTTTCCAGTACCAGACAACACTCTTTAACTTTTGATATATACAAAGTTCCTCAATACTTCATTGAAATTTTATTCAAAATACTTGCATCTAGCAGGTTCTGATTAAATCTTTCACAATTTTAGTTGTCAAAGAAGTCATACCCCAGTAGTTAAAATTATTTGTGGTTAAAATTATCAAACTAAAAGCAATCCTTTCGTTATTTAATTTTCAAGCCATTGCTTTCTAATTTTATGCTAACACAGCCCACATTGCAAATTGAAAAGATGAATTATAAAGGTCATATTAAAATCACTCTAAATACTCTCAGAATGCATTTTTATTGTTGTCAATGGCAAACTAGCAAAACCACAACCACTGGATAGAATAACCAAAAAAGATTCTTGGGGACAGACTTCATATGATCTTACAGGGCTGTGTTGTTACTATCAACACTTACAGTGTTGATACATACAACTTACAGTGGTGGTACATATCAACTTACAGTGTTGATATGTAAGAAAAAAAAGTATGAATTGAATATACTTTTAAAGAAAAAAGAAATTAAGATGTGATATAAATGGAAGATCTTCAGTCATTCAAATCCATGTTTGTGCAGCAGTGCTGGCAGCCAAGGTCTGAAGGAAATGACTATAAGCTAATGCTGAGTTGAAAGTAAGGTGAAGAGCATAAGGTCTGATGCAACACGAAAAGCGGGTAGCAGTTGATGAAAAGACTTAAACAGTGCTTAGGATATCACCATGGAAGACAACTGGGTAGAACATCTATCAAAGTAAGACCTGATTAATTATATTAATTAGATGTAGGCTTATAATGCAATGTAAAAATAACAGCCACTGAAACTCAACCTTACGTCATCTACTCTTTCATCTTCAGGTGTGGCTACATACCACTCACTGCGGCTTGAGCATTTGGCACTCAGGCACCCAGCATGGATGCAATACATTCATTCTCACCTTAAAAAAACGTAGAAGAAAATCTGCACATACTGTGGTTAAATCATTTAATAATGGTATGGCTACAGTAGATACACTATCTTGCCATGAATTCAATGTCTCTGAGAGATACTCAAGACCACTTGCATTTCACTAGCTCAGATACAGATAACAAAACATTTACAGCAGTACTGATCTGCCAAAGCAGCTGGGTAAATATGTATGCCAGTGCTTGACTGTTAAGGGCTTTTTTTGCCATCAATACTTGAGTTAGCTACTTTAATTTAACATATTTTGTCCCTTATCACTGTAGTTACACTAATGCCTCATGTAACAGTTGATACTTAACTACAGCATTTTCTGTAGATGACATAAATACTACTTTATCCTTCTTTTCCAACTTTTGTAAAAGAAAAGAGTGTGTTATGTCCACATTGGTGGGCATCTTATGTAGTCAGGTTTTCCCTGATAGACATAATTCCAGTATTAAACTGTTTCAGTTTGGCCCCATCAAAACAAAAATAAGGGTTGGAGTAAAATTAACTTCTCTTGTAATTTTTTTTCAAAGTCAGTGGAGTTTACTCTAGCTGAATTTGTTCCATTATTCTGGAACATTAATATTGCTTTGATGACCACACTCATAGACTTCATTAAAAAATGGAGACTCTTACGATTAGAAGCCATGATGCCAAATACCATGATGGCATTTCTGCGTACAATTGGATCTTCATGTGAGATGAGTTTATACAGATGTTCCACTGCTCCAAGACCAAGAAGTGTCACTTTGTTTTCATCACCTGAAGAGTAATTAGGTTAAAAGTCTGTAAAAATGCAACAAGCTTGTAGTTCTAAAGTAACAAATGAAAACAGCTACCAATCTTTTATTGGACTGTAGACTCAAAGAACAAAGGCCTGGATAGGACCTTGGGAGATTGTCTAATCTATAACTCAAATAAACATGTGTCAAATATTATCAAGGATTAATAGTATCAAGGATTAAGTCACATTTGTAAAGCAAAGGATGCTTCTGTCTATTGGACACCCAACTCATTTGCTGGAGATTGCAGTGGTAGTACAAAGGACAGCTTTCTATTTAGTGAAGTTCAGATGAATGATATAATTAAAAACCTCATTTTATTTTCTTCATTTCTTGCCTCCCAATTTTATTTTCTTCTAAATAACAGTTAATTCATTATGTGGATCTGCATTACCTCTCAAGTGAAACAAGTACCAGCATCTGCATCATCAATTCCCACCTGAGATTTCTACCACCTGAGAATGGAGCACTTTGTATCTGACTAGGCTTTGGCCATGCAAAGAACAGAAGCATTTTGTATGGTTACAGACTTCCATTCTTGCTCACTCAAAAAACACCCAAAACCCAAGAAACAAAATCCAAAACTTACTCCTCTTCTCAGTTCCCATAACAGCATTATAATTCATTTTCTAACGAGCCATGCCTGTCCTTTCTGGCTACAAGTTAGCAATGTGAGAAGAAACTGGGGAACTATGCTCATTCTCAGGCCAAAACACAATTAAAATACAAGAATTATTTTTTATTGAGAATGGGACTTAAATTACTAGCAAAGTTCAAGAAAAAAATTAACTGCAAAGTGAAAACAACTCCTTTTGTGTCACACTGCAGAGTTACAGTCTAGTCTTCTGGGAGACTGCAGGAATATCTACATTAAGAATTTAAAGGATTATTCACTTAGTAGAAACAGAAAAATTAAGTATCTGTCCTCTTGCAGTGTGCCATATGTTACTGTGGACAGCAGGGAAGGAGCCAACAAGACTTTATGGTGTGCAGCTCATAGCTGTCTCTGAACAGTCCAAATTCTCTCTTCACATATTCAAAATTTGGTTGCATGCCCCCAGCTGAGTTGCCATATTAAGCTGAACTTAAACGTCTTTCAGAACCCAATGATCCTATGCCAACTGTCAAAGCCTTCAGCTCTTCTCTCACAACTTCAGCAGGGATAATAATTGCCATCAGTACAACAATCAGCATATAAAACTATAATTTTTAAAGAAAGCATAAATTAAAAGGAAATTAATATTAAAACAGATTAATTATACCAAGAATGCTACCAGTGTATACCAATTTGAGTGGCTGTAATGGAATGAGTAGGAGGCAACTTAGGAAATTATGTGCTACATAATTTTGAGCCTTTGTTACACAGTTGTCTTCTGAGTACCTGGAACACGACACTTAGCTAAAGATAACACAGGAACCTTTGGAATATTTGGAATCTCGAAGGCTGGTTACATTCCCAACACATACAGAAATAATCTTGATAAAGGAGGCTGAGTGGTCTCCAATAAATCATCTGTAACAGAAGTACTGACACAAGAGAGATATGCAAAAATAATAGAAACAGGCTAAAAAGGAATTTTCATTGAAAACCAAACCTTAAAATAACTACACTAGTACAGAAGTTTCAAACTAAAACATAAAAAAGAGAATTCTTTCCCAGATGGAGGTGTGTTGCTCATAACAAAACAAATATAGGTTATATCTAAACCAAGCTCTATTAAACAGAGAATATAAAATTCTACCAAAAAAATGATAAAAATTTCCTTCACACAAACTACAGGACTTCTTTATAACTGCAAATACAGGTTTGACAGATATTTCAGAAAACCCTCAAAGCTTGACAGAGACCTTTGAGATGAAATGAAAAGTTTTGTGCTAGGAAACTAAAAAATTGTGAACTACTACCAAAATCTAAGCAACACAAAGGAAAGCTTATTGCAAAAAGACTAACCTTTTGATGCAAATTTATATAGAGCATCACATGCTTTGGCCAAAACTTCCTTTTCAGGAGAATTAAGCATTAGCACAACCGTTGCTGCTGTTTTGCTTTCAATCAATAAAGGATCAAACTACAAAGAAAAAAAAAAGGAAATAGTTTGATTTATACTGAGCCTTCCTGTGTGTTGCAGTAGACTCCCACATTTGATTAAAAAAAATCTGGTTTGAGATCTACAGTGAGTTAGAAATATTAACATGAGTTGGTATTTACCTAGAGAAATTAATTTTTTTAACAACAATTGGAGACATCGTTGAAAAATAAAAAAGAATAATTAATTTCAAAGTATAATCATGATTTCATCCTGTATGAAGATTTTTGAAAGCCCATGACACTTCCCTGTACATCTAGAAAGTCCTGAAGGCAACAGACTATGTAATTCAGTTACATGCATAAAAGCAACCTGGAGCTTCGGAACCAAACATGTGCACAGAGCCTATGAACTTAGGTGGCGTACCAGGAAGAGGATTTGGTTACTCTGTGGCGTTAACACTTTATGGTTGCTTTAAAAAAAAAAAAAAAAAGGACCCCTCTAGAAGTGATACGAAGTGTTCATTTCCATTTCTGACCTCTCTCATAAAGAAAAAAATCTTCCAACAAATCTGGCAGTTTTCAACGTCTTAATAGGCTCTTTGGGACTAACATCACCGGAAAAAGGGAATCTTCTAAAAAAAGCCTTTCACTGTTTAACCAGACTCAATGATTTCTGAAAATTCTACCCATTAAAAAGTTTTAAGCTTATTTGGATTTAAAATAATTTTTAGTATGGAAAAACTGTCTTCTGTCCTCATACTTCAGGCCTATAGAGTATCTGCATTACATACAGAAACTACTATATACTGGAGTCATGCAGTCTCTCAATATCAATGTATTTATATTTAAAATACAGCAGATTAATAATTTAAGATAGCAATAAAATTTATTTAAAATATTATTACAATGTATATTTATACCATATATATTTTAAAATGCGTATTATGTGTTTTACTTCATTAAAAAACCCTCTAATAGCTACATCAGAGGCCCAGGTTGCTGAACAAGGGCATGAAGATACATACAAGTCAGTTGTCAAGTAAGCAAATTATTTGGGGCAAATCTTCAAAAAAGTTATGAGTATGCTAGTGGGAAATGAAGGAAGAAGAGGCTTTTTTTCTTCTCCCTCCTCTGACTTGTTAAAAAATGAGGCAAAATATGATACTAGTACCCAGACTTCTAAATTCATGGTTTTGGTAGGTTTTTAAATCTGAATAATTTCATCATCTTCCATGATGCATATCACACGATTTAACAATCTGCAAGATCAAGATCCAAGTTTCATTAACAGTGAAGAAGTTGCCAGGCTAATATGCTTAATTGTTCTCCCCAGCTTCAAGCAGGTCTGAAAACCTGGAGACATTGTCCAACTTCATCCTTGCTGCGACAAGCTAGCAGCATAGGACAAGTCATGGAACAAAGCTCCTTTTTAAAGAAAATATAATCAGCTTACTGTACTGTAAGTAATTTCGCTTAATAATGACTCAGCAACAAGAATTAAACCAAATAGTGGCACAGTGGTTTAAGTTACGTCTTAATGATGGGCCTAAAATGATGGAATTCTTTATGGGAATTTTCTTTTTAGATGGTAAAGAGGCAAAAAATTCAGCTTATCACAGCAACATAGAATTAAGGGATAACCGAAAGTCTCTTTAGCCACCTTCACACTTGTCCACTTTTGCACATTTGTGTCCTTGCATGGACAGAACTTGATCCTCTAGGTAAGTGCTATGATTTAAGCACAGACATATCTCCTGAGTCTGGCCAAATACTTGGTGATGGGATAAAACCGTAATTTTTAGTAAAGGCTGTTAGTCCTCCAGAGAAAAATAAACACAAAGATTGATCTCAGATAAAATTTAATAAGAAATTAAATATAAGAGTTTTAAATCTTAGTTATTTTTTTATGAAAGACGCTATTATGTTGCTCCACTTTAGTTTCCTCTTGTGTTCACAAATAATCATATAAACTACAATTCAACGATAATTCCTAGAATTTAACGACAGGTTGGCACATGAGCAGAGCGAAATTGGTAGACATTAGAGTGAATTTTGTGTAGACATTAGATTCACTACTACTGTCTGAAATATTCAATAGGCACTTTCCTATCAGAAGCAGTTTTGTGCTGAAAACACAGTAAGAAGAGTCACTGAAATCAATGTATGTTTAAGAAGTCAGAGGCCTGAACAGGTCAGTGATTTACTGGGAAGTAACACTGTTCATCAAAACTATCATAGAACTGGATGTGACTTTTGCTTATCATAGTGCCACCATAGCTGGAGTTCCTCCCTCTCTCTTTTTTTTTTTTTTTTTTTTTTAAATAATCAAGGCTTGCTCCTAAATCTTCATACATGATTACCAGACTCTTCCCTTAATGGCACATACAGGACAGATTACGTGCTAGAATAATATGCTTGAAGTTACACACTATCTTGAATTAAACACCGGAATTACTGGTTTATAAGCAAAAACATTTCTGACATTCAGTTTGTATTAAGAAAAAAAGCAAGTTAAATGAAAAAGCTGTAATTCAAAAACTCCTGTATGTCTTTGATCATGATTTTTGTGTACATTTGACTTCAAAGCCAGTAGAAACTGCAGAGTATTTGGGGTTTTTCCATCAACTTAACTTTAAAATTTGAAGGTAATAGAAAATATGTTTCCAGTCAGAACAAAGATCCATCTAGCCCAGCATCCTGTCTCCAACAAAGGCTGCTAACAGGTGTGGGGGCAAGCAGACTATTAAACTTTGCTTATATTCCCTCCCAGGCTCCAGCACTCTGCAACCTAGAGAACTGGTGAGCTAGCGATTTTACCTCTGTGTTCAAAAAGTTCAAGAAAAATTTTCCTCCAGTTAATTTGGTAAATAATTTTTGAAGCCATCTGTATTTTAGCCACCCTTAATATTCTGAGACACAAGTATCACAGTTTAACAGTCATGAAAGTATCCATGAAAGTGCCATTTTAATGAAAGCATCTACATAAATTCTGATAGACTGGATGACACAAGTTGCAGAATAAAACCCCATGAAATTCCACTGGCAACCTCTCTCCGTTATGAAACCCAAGCAGTAAGTTGTTTTCTCACCTTTGCTTTCTATTTTATAACCAGACATTATTCCCAGGAGAGGAATTTCTTTTTACCTGTTAGTGTTTATACGAGTGAAGAGCTTGGTTTAAAAACTTTTGTAAAAGTTAAATAACCAGATCAACATTACCCACTTGCTTACTAACTCCTCTGAAGAATTCAAACAGACTTCAGAGATCAAACTTGCCTCTACATAAGCAATACTCATTCTCCCCCCATTACTATCATATTTATCCATGCTTTTTTTTTTTTTTCTTCTTTTGGTAACTATTTCTACCAATTAACACAGCATGGACAACAAACTTTCTGGCCTGTAATTATTGATGTATTTCTTTTTGGAAATGAAATATTCTACCCTCCATCCCTCTAGTACAAAAAGTATACACTAAATACCATAAGTAACACTAGCACAATTTCAGATTTTAGCTATTTTTAGTTAGAACAATACCTGGGCAAGTATAATTTATGCATATTAGGGCAATTTTTTCACATTTGTTTTAGTGATTTCCTACATAGCTTTGTCTTTTGACACAAAAATACATAATTTTGCTTTTCTTTTATGACCTTAATCACCTAATAGTGTCCTTCCAAGAAGCTTCCTGCTTCTAGTCAGTTTGGAAAAGCTTTATTGCTAGTTTTTGTATCCTTGCTAGTTCTCTCCCAAAATGTTTTGGTGCATTGCGACATTGTGCTTTTATTTTTCATTTGTGAGTGCAAGGGTTTGGGTTTTTTTCCCCCCATTTAGATGTAAATCCCACCTTTTGAAGGATGCATTTATCTGCTATTATTCTGCTGTTTAATCATGCTGTCTTTTATTTTATTTTTTTTAAATCCTTTAAACTTGAATTAACTGACTACAGGTCTGCTCTACCCTTGTACCTTTTGTGGACTCTTTAGAAGCATTACTGATATCTTTGATATTCTTAACCCCTTTTCCTTTACCCAGAAAAATAGTTAATATATACCTGGCCATGTTAATTGTTTCAGTTTTGTCATTGTCTGATCCCCTATATTAACAATATAAACCCAGGGTATTCCACTGAATAACAGTTGATGTTGGAAGGCGCCTCTGGAGATGATGTGGTCCAACTGCGCTGTTCAGAGCAGGGTCAGCGGGAGCTCAGGGACGGTGCATGGTCCAATTTTGAGTATCTCCAAGGATGGAGACTACATAACCTCTCTGGGCAACCCGTGCCATGTTCCATCATTCTTACAGTAAAAGAGGATTTTTTTTTTTCTTATGTTTAAATGGAACCTACTAGGTTTTATTTTGTGCCAATTGCCTCTCATCTTTTCACTGGGCACCACTGAGAAGAGCCTGGCCTGACTTCTTTACTCCCTCCTATTACCTATTTATACACATTGACACACTGACACCCCTCCAAGCCTTCTCTCAAGGCTGAACAGTTCCAAGTCTCAGTCTCTCCTCATATGACAAATGGTCCAAGCCTTTGGCAGACTTGTCCCAGTAAGTCCATGTCTCTCTTGTACTGGGGAATCCAGAACTGGATATGGCACTCCAGATGCTGTCTCATCAACATTGAGTGGAAGACAACAGTCCACTCCCTCAAGCTGCTGGCAACACTCTGGCTAATGCACCCCAGAATTTTGTTGGCTTTCTTTGTCCACTAGAATCACCAGGTCCTTTCTAGCTGGTCATCACCCAGTCTATTCTGGTTATTCCTCCTCCATGTTCAGTATTTGGCATTTGCTTTTATTGAACTTAATGAAATTCCTGTTTTCCCATTTTTCTAGTTTGTTCAGGTCTGTCTGAATGGCTGCACAACCATACAGTCTATCACTCACTTCTCTCAATTTCCTATCTTCTGCAAACTTGCTGAGGGTGCACTCTGTCCCATCATTCAGATCACTAATGAAGAGGTTAAACAGTACCAGCCCCTGGGGCACAACGCTAGTGACTGACCTCCAGCTGGACCTCATGCTGCTGTTCACAACCCTTTGAGCCTGGCAGTTCAGCTAGTTTTCAATACATTTACCATGTCCATTTATCTTGTCTGTACTTCATCTGTTTGTCTATTAGGATGTTGAGAGAGACAGTGTTGGAAGTCTTACTAAAGTCAAGTCAAATTAATATTTAGAATCACAGAATCATAGAATGGTTTGGATTGGAAGGGACCTTAAAGATCATCTAGTTCCAACCCCCCTGCCATGGGCAGGGACACCCTCCACTAGACCAGGTTGCCCAAAGCCCCATCCAACCTGGCCTTGAACACTGCCAAGGATGGGGCATCCAGAACTCTGGGCAATCTGTTCCAGTGCCTCACCACCCTCACAGTGAAGAATTTCTTCCTAATATCTAATCTAAATCTCCTCTCCTTCAGCTCAAGGCCATTACCCCTTGTCCTATCACTACATGCCATTGTAAACAGTCCCTCTCCAGCTTTCCTGTAGACCCCTTTAGGTACTGCAAGGCTGCTATAAGATCTCCCTGGAGCCTTCCCTTCCCCAGGCTGAACAAGCCCAACTCTCTCAGCCTGTCCTCATAGGAGAGGTGCTCCAGCCCTCTGATCATCTTTGTGGCTCCCCTCTGGACTAGCTCCAACAGCTCCATGTCTCTCCTGTACTGGGGCCCCCAGAGCTGGACGCAGTACTCCAGGTGGGGTCTCAATTTAGGCATAAATTGCTCAAAAGAAGGTGTTTCTATGGAGACTGAACTTCAGGACAGTGCCACTCCATATATTCTACCTCCTTAACATCAGTGTTGTGAATGATGCTGTTTTCAAAAATATTTGGGTACCTATAGCCTTCTTTCAGTGATAATACCTCAGTATTTTCTCTTGTGGTAATCTTAGGCCACCTTTTTAATGTCTATGCCCTAGTGATGATCAAATAGTAATATTGTCTAGATCAAACTTAATTAAGATATCATATGAAAAGTTCTTACCAATCTTTGTCAAAACTAGCATATTTTACCTGCCTGAATTACTGTCTAAGGTCATCCATATAGAGATAGAGGCTCAAAGCAGTATTTTTCCTGGAGAAGCCCAATTCTCAGAACAGAAAAGAATAAAAGACAAACTATGAAAGGCAGGGAAAATAGAGTCCTCAGGAATACTTTCTGAAACATTTAAGAGATGTGTTTTCCACCTGTTCCTAGAAATCTATAAAAATTAGTGGTCACCTGCATTACCATATATTCTCAGAGCATTCCACATGCACAAAGGCCCTCTTTTATAAGTCTGTCCACATTATCTCATGGCTTCTTTTCTTGGACTTGACATTTTCATAAGCAGATTATCAATCACAAGATAATAGCTAACACATCTTTTATTTTGTCTGCATCTCATTTCCTGCCATCTCAAATATCCAGGTGAAATTTAAAGTTTTGAGATTTGATTTTACCTGATCACTATTAACAATATTCTCATAGCTAGAAGATTTTCTTGGCTGATAGTTACAACTTATCAATGATCTATTTTCATATTTAATACTGTTTTGCTATGCAACATTCAGTTGTTTTTTTTTTCTCCTGATAGGACTGCTACAAGAGATATGCTAGCCTGAAGTACAATAAGGGTAAAAACTAAGCCAAAAACTGCACATGCCATATGGACTT